TTCCCATTCTGGGTAAATCTTTCCATATTATGAATATTTCGAAAATTTACCTATTCAACGACATCTTGTGTGAGTTCTCCAAGTAGTGCAGGCATAGTTCGAGGACTCAATTCTGCCATTGATTCGTAACGACTGTTACTGCTCTGATTCTGTCCATCTATTCATGGAGAGCTATGCTGCTCCTCGTATTGCTCGATCACAGACTGGACTCTTCATTGACTTGCTGCTTCCTTATCAGATTTCTGAGGCATATTGTTTTACCTTTTGTATCTTCAACACCAAGCACCACTGTTCCACTGGGCGTGCCAAATTGTTTCGCGCGGGTTAGTCGCTAACAATTAAAAAGTGATCAGACGATTGTGTAAGGGACAAACCTCTTGAGACAAAATCCCAAAAAGGGGTGTTTTTATTGGCGATGACTTTACAATTGGAAAATAAAAACAGAATGCCTTCAAGGGGCGCAAGCATACGAGTTACTGAAAAGAAGTGTTTAAATCTAAACTAAGAAATTTAAAGTTACATATTCTCTGTTTGAGAGTGTTTGATTCAGGAGGCTTTTGCTCTATGTTTTTTCTTCCTTTTATACTCTCTGAATGATCTCTTCATGATCAACTGCTTAAAAACTGCTTGATCGCTCTATAACTGCCCACTTTCCTCGTAGTGGCCAACTTGTCATGGAACTGTCTTCTCTAACTACTGCCATTACTTTTGTCGTTCAACCGCCTTCAATTGAATTCCTTGAATCGTGGAACGTGATAGGGCTACTCAATAATTGATTTATTAACCGCACCTTTGGGCAACCATAACATCTTACGTTTGCTAAGATCCTGGACGACTCGAAGGTTTGGGCGAGAACAGGGGCTCAGTTCTGAGCGACTGCATGGTAATCCATTCACTCAAATCTTGGGTGACTTGTAACCTTGGAAGATGGTATTATCGCATTCATAGGCTTCCCTATTTGGGCCTTTATCCTGCCTGATTGGGTCGTTCTGTGGGCTATTTGATTTTTGGGATCTTCTAATTGAGCTTCATTCCTTGGGCTATTCGACTTGAGCTGAACTTTTTGTGTGTCAACACTTTGAAAGTCGTAGAACGTGGGGTGCTAAGAAACTTGTCTATAGATTTGAAAGTGATTTTCCTACACACCTTATGGAGACCATACGATGTTCCCTTGATATATGGCTAATGTGACACAATTTTATTTTGAGAGACATCTCAATGACGATTTTTATGGCCGATATTCTAATTTAAGTCTTGCTTATGTTTTTACAACCATGGCGATGGAAATCCGCTTGATGGATATGGTGGTAAAATTGTACATGATTTTGAGCTGACCGATGGTCGAGTGCTTTTCAATGCATCGGAGGATTGGATACTTGGTTCTCTTCCTCGTACACGTTTTTATTGCATTGCATGAAATTGGGCATGCTCTTGGACTTGATCATATGGATATTCCGGATGCAATTATGTTCCCCTATTTCCTTTATGTCATGGTAAAAAAAAATTTACACCAAGATGATATTAATGGAATAAACACATTATATGGATGGAATTAGAACTTTAGATCAATATTAATTGGTGTCAGATTGATTATTTTTGCTTTTGGTTGGGGATTAATTAATTGAGGGCTTGTAGTTTTTATCAGAGGATTTTTTCAGTACGAGAGAAATGAAAATGGAGTCATAATAAGCCTTTCCAATAAATTTGACATATTTAATACATCAATTTAAAATAAAATTATTAAATTCATTTAAGTAGTCATACTTTACATGTTATTTTAAGTACATTATGATCGAGAAATATAGCTCAAAAATAATTAAAAGAGATAACAACCACAAATTTGATTTATTAAACTCATTTCGTACAACCATTTTTTACTCACTATTGTGACCTCATTGTTTAGCTATTTTGCTAACTGAAAGGAGCCTTTCGAAGATCTATGGAGTTAAAAGACATTTTCGCATAGTATGCTAAATTCGTTTGGAAAGTGATGCAAAATCTCAATTTTAACATGAAATTCAATTTGATTTTTGATAGTGACACATAGATCATTAAGCACGAATTTAACGATTTATTATTTCATGGCAAGCCAATTAACCAACCCCATTAACATGTAGCTATATTGTCTATGAACAACATCTTTCTACCAAGTAAGAAATAACATTAATTTTAGTGACTTTTCTTTAATGGTGATAAATTTCAACGCCAAATCATAGTACATATATCGAAATTTTAATTAGATTGTTAAATTTTAAATTGTTTCGATTGAGTCATCAAACTTAAATTTAATTTAATTGGGTCATTGGAGTTTAATTTATTTCTAAATTTCACCAATTGATCACGTGAAATCTCCCTAATAGATGAAATTAAATAATTGATGACATAATAAGAATTTGGAAAACCCTTGTGGTACATAAGGGTTGGTACACAATGGTGTCCACACTCTCACATGAGGGGGGCCCGCATTCATGTGAGGGTGTGGACAACATTGTGTACCAACCCTTATGTATTCAGGCGGACCCTCCTCATGTGAGGGTGTGGACATGATTGTGTACCAACCCTATTATACCCATAGACCCAACCCTAAGAATGTGGGCCCCCCTCATGTGAGGGTGGGGACACCATTGTGTACCAACCTTTATGTACCCATAGACCAACCCTAAGAATTTATCGTCCAAATTTTACCACCTGGTCAAATGATGCCCTTAATTTCACATTTGGAATTATGATCATATCCGAAAAAGTCAATTAATTTTAATCAAACAGTCTCTTCTATGAATAGTTTTTTCTTGAGTTTTGTTTTAAACGCCAAGGTTTTTACATCTGGTTTTTTGTATTATAATTAAAATGCACTGTCTATTAAAAAGTTCTAAATAAGCGAAAATCCAAATATTGCCCATCTTTGCATAAACAAAAAGTGTAATTTAAGATTTATAATGTTAGAAATTCAGCTACAAGTTACCGTGTCGTTTCGATTTCTTGCATTTTTTCTTGATTTTCTTGAAAGACCTTTCATCAAAGGACAAATCAAAACTATGTAGTTCGATAGACGATAAACTAGTGAAAAAATTAAAAAAAAGTTATATATTCTTCAAATTATATATTCTATAATCTATCAAAAAAATTCAAAACGACTTAATTGTGGAGATCAAATACAAAGTTAGGAAGGGATTTAAAACCCAACTCTAGTCAAAAGATATATATATATATATATATATATATATATATATAAAAGAAAAGAAAAAGAATTATTCTACTACTATATGTTGACGTGGTAATCAAGATCCAAATAAATCTCCGGCTCCATCATCTAACCATAATGGCAAATTGTGAAGCATTCAAGTAGTTGGTATCAACTATACATTCCATTATTACCATCAATGATGTCGGGTACCCCGCACCGAGGCATCATCATAAATGACACCGTGTGAGAATCTAAAATTCCAGTAATTTCAAGGTTATAATTGAGTTGATATGTTTTGACTGCAGACTCCAATGCATCGTCGAATACATCCTTCTTGCTAGCATCAATAGTATCGAGATAACCAAACTGGTTGAAATACTTCTTGACTCGATACAGTCCTTCCACGTGATCACCTTTTTTAGAACCTCGAAATTTATTGAAAGACGCAAAAGAATCACTTTGCGTGAGATTAAGACAAACTGAGAAAAGCAGGAAAAAACATACGAAGAATCGACTAACTATGGATGCCATGCCTTTATTATTGTTCGTAGGATTATGTAAAAAATACAACGACAGAGTCTTTATTTATAGAGCTGTCCAAAGAATCCCAATTGATCAAGAGTCCTTTCACTATGGAATTCTAGAAGGAAAAGGTCTTCTAAATAAATAGAAAACGTTAACACATATATAATCCCGCCCGGATTATGCTGTGCAAATTTCATTTCATAACTAATCAAATTATACAGGTCATTAGTTTAATTATATATATATATTGAATATTATTATTTTACATAATTGTTTATCGAAGAGAATGGTGATTTTTTTTTTTTATTTGATTGAATAAATTTTGACTCAATTATATCTCATCGTATTATGGGCATGCAAACCAAATATCACAACCGTTTCCTGCAATCAAGTAACAAATGACGTCGAGTAACATTTGAACAGAAATCTTCATATGGGCCTTACGTTGATTGGGCCAAGAAGATGGATCCCACTCTTCAATTTTCATCGGTAAATGGACCACTTTCCTTACTTCGTAAATTCGGGCAAACCCCACGTCAGTTATCCCATAAGGAAATGGTAAAACTCTTCCATTTGCACAACTTTGCAGCTTTCTTATAATAAATAGTAAATTATTTATTAAAAATAAAAAATAAAGAAATTACTTATTTTAGTAATGAATTAATAATTACTCGTAAGCAAATAATTTTATTTTAATTGAAAGTATCATAAAAGTTACCTTACTTCTAACTTAAAAATAAGCATTCACGAATATGCCCAATTTATTAGTTGAAATGATAATAATTACACATGTTCACACATTCTCTTCAAATTAGCATCTTGTAAGACATACACTCCAATGCAATTGTTCACACGACCCTACGATAATTGGTTAAAGTGAAAAATAGCTCATTCGTTGATTAACGAAAACAATAAATTAAAGTTGCCGGCCAGTAATAACTTAAGAGTCGATGATCCTTTAATCAAAACTGGAAGTTATGGCTCAGAAATTACCCAATGACAAGAACACCAAATTGCCTCATATTTTCTCTAGCCAGTATTTGGCAAACCAAACTACAAGCAAATTGACAAGTACGAGAGCGCACACAAAATCAACATGAAAACTAGATCATGTCTTACAACGGAAATCATCAGTAACTTTTCTTAGGAAGATAACACTGAAATTTAGGACTTCAAAACTGTTTCATCACTGTTGAGCACATTGCACCCTCTGGCCTCCACCGTGCATGTCGTCGTCATCATCATACGCCTCTTGATGCTGAGTCTGCTTCCTCCGCATCTCCTCCTCAATGTTACCTAAACAAAGCAGAGAGTGAGATTCAGTCAAAAACCTCCAAATGGACTTCCGCCAAAGAAGGATGAGAAAATGTCGAATGGATCGTGCATGCCACCACCTCCACCCATTCCTTCCTTGAGTGCATCTTCACCATACTGATCATATATCTCACGTTTTTCAGGATCACTAAGAACCTCGTAAGCATGAGCAAGCTCCTTAAACTGTAGCATACAACATTTATTAAATTTGAATCATTTAATCAGGTCCGTTGCTATAAAAGGGGAAAATAAACATACGCAACATCTAACACATAATAGCTCTTCTTCAAGCAAGCATGCACGCATTAGGATTTCAACTAGCTTGTGTATTTAGCAAAATCACCGACGTTCATTGAATGAACCAAGCTATACAAATTTACTTGACCTTCCAAATTAACCAGTAAAACATGAAAGATGTTAAAAAATGCTAGAGGGAAAAAGAATTTCCAACTAGAAAAGTTACCACTCAAATACAACTTTCTCCCAGATTTAGGATTCAACAAAAATCCAAGAGAATAATCAGCAGCAGAGCTCGATTTAAAGCTAAAACGCCATGGAAAACTCTAGGCCATTGGCCATAAAATTAGATCAAGCCAGGAAGGCAGGTAGAATTAGAAATTAAAAGAAACTAGTCGAAAGTAGCACCCTTTTCACTTCTCCAACTTTTGAATATTAATCATTTTGTTAAGTACTAAAAACGCAACTTTAGGACACGCATCCTCTATCCCCACTCTGCTAATACTAGCCCTACATAATTTTGTTCATACAGCTATACGAAAGTTTAAAAAAACTGTTCATCATCACCTTATTAAGGGGAAGTTATGAGAACTGAAAATAAACTCAGGTTCAAACATTGACAATAAAGTGTATTGGGTTTGCCAATACTACTCGTAGACCGTAGTATACGACCTATGGTATCATCTATGGAATATTGTTTGTAACTGAATTGAAAACGAATTCCAGTAAATTGAGTTGCTTAGAAATTGTTTTCCTGAAAATTGTAAATTATTATTTTTTATTGTTATAATTTTCTGAGTGAAAAATGTTAAAATAAAATTTTTTTTTGATGTTAGTTTGATTTTATTTTACATAAAAATTATAAATTAAAAGAATAATTTTTACTGATATTGGAGATGAAATTTGTTCCCATTGCCAACCCAATAAAAAAAAATATCTATCTTTTAGTGTTCGTTTAGCTTTATTTTACATAAAAATTGCTAATTAAAGCAAAATATTTTTTACAATTATTCTTAACATTTGTTTCCATTGCCAAAAATAAATAAATAAATAAATAAAATAAACGAAAAACAAAATTACTACAGTAATCCGGAAAAATGAATTCTCCTCAAAAAGAAAGAAAATGTCCATTTGGCATCAAAATGCGGAAAATGAATTTCATAAAAAATTTTGTCAATCAAACACCAAAAAAATGAAAAGATGAAAATGGAATCGGTGTGCAATCATACACTACCTAAGATAATGTTTCAATATTTCAGGCGAAAAATGATATTTCAAATTTTTTTTGCAAAATGCATGGGTCAAAAGAATAAAAAGTTATGGACCCGATAGAGCATGGTGTGATTGAAAAAAATTAAATAATAAATAAAATAAAATGAAGTAACAATTATTTTTAAAATCTCTTTCCTAAACGAAGTCAAAAAATATTCACTCCTTTCAACTCCACAGTACATTCTAAAACCAATTATTTAAAATCAAAGCCAAATAAAATTACTTCCAATCCTTCTCTCTTTCAGTTTTCATCAATTAATTCTTAACTTCCCCTCCTAAATAATACCAAACTTTTCCGGTACTCGTCCTTTTTTTCTTCAATTCTGCGAGGGCTATCATTCAACTCAATTACATAAACGGTTCCGAAAAAACACCTACAAAAATTGATTCCATATGCAATTTCTAAAATTTCGCCTTCTATGAAGTGAAGGAATTATCAATTTCGCGACTAGTAAAAAAATACTACTACTTGCAACATAATTACAGAATCTACTACATGCACGTAACATTGTCATAAATTATCAGAAAATATCAAATTGAAATAAAAACTATCCAATAATACCCAAAAATAAATGATAAAACATGACGAAACATACCTTCTCGGGATCTCCACCCTTATCTGGATGATTCTTGATGGCAGCCTTCTTGTACGCCTTCTTCAAATCATCCGGCGACGCCGTTTTAGACACGCCAAGAATCTCATAATACTTAGTATTATCACTCTTCTTCGGTGCCCTTCCAAACATCTTGAATTACTAACAAAATCAACAAATTAACCGGTCAATTACCAAATTACAATACAGATCTAAAATTACAGCTATGAATTTGACAGAGAGAACTCTCGTGCAGCAAAGGTGTAAGAGATGTATATATAGGAATCGTTGTATGGTGCAGATTGAGTCTAATGGAAGGCTTAAAAGGATCTTGCTTTTGGATTTCCGGGGTCTAGAATTCTCTCCTGGTTTCTAGTGCTCTCAATTTTTCGATTATTATTGGAAGGATGGACGTGGGTCGTTGATCATGTAATTGACGGGTGGGATTTGTATTCTAGACTATTCTACAAAGGAAAGTTTTCAGAATTTACTGAAAGGCCCTTTCTCTTTATGTGATTACAAGAATTTTCCACTTTAAGGTTTTGACTCTCACTAGAGTCCTCCTACATTGCAAATCTAAGACTACAATTGTACAAATCCATGTTACATTTTACCATAGAACGAGTCCAAGTTGATGTCAAGCATAACTTATTTAAGTTAATGTCAATTTGCGATGCAGAGTAGGATTATTAAATCCATTTTGAGTAACCATTATTATTTCACTACTTTGGACTCGTTGTTTAACAATTTTGATTTGAGATTAAGAGGCCATCACTTCTGTTTTTCTTGTTTTTTCTTCCTATCTCTTCGTAGAACGACTCTAAAGTCTCTCATGTTTCTCCTTCCATTTTATATTCAACCAACCATAAATGACAAAAGAGAAGACACATAGATGAAATGTTGTTCACGAAGATATGCAAGAAAATCATAAATCGATCATTTTCGTTCTATCCAGCAAGAGTTTAGCACCACGCCTATTAGATCAGGTAATCTCAAAATCTGTTCAATGACTTTCATGCCATGAATTAGTTGAAAGCTTGGTGAAAGAATTAGATAGTAGTGAATGAATCAAACTAAAAGGTTATGTCAATGAAAATGTGTAAAGTTATTAGGGTAATAGAAAGTCCACTTCATATTTGTTTACTTTATGAAATACTTGTATTAGTTGAGAATTACCATCACGTTGTGTAGTGACGCTATCCACTACAGAATCTAAGTATGTGACTATAACTAAAACCATGAAGGAGAAAATTTAGTTATAATGAATGATGATTAATTTAAAACTCATCCAAGACGATATTGTAGTGTACTTAGATAACAAATCAAAAAATTCAGTTGTGAAAAAATTTAGTCTTTTATGAGGGTATAAAATACATTGATATTAGACTCCACTTTATCAGACACATTGTACTCAAAGGTATGATCAAACTTTAAGAAATTCCTTACTAATTCTACATTAAGGTAGACATTGCAAAAGCCAAATGCACCCAAAAGAATGGTCAGATGAGCAGTAGAGCTCGGATAATTCGACATAAGATACAGACCTGCACCTCCATTAAAAGTCAAGCTCTCGCTGACTTTGTTGCGGAATTCAGCAATGAACCCAGAGATGAACCACCACAAGAGGCCCCATGGGCAATTTTTATAGACGGTTCGTCAATTGGAGACAGGTCGGGGGCAGGAGTTGTCTTAATTGGCTTGGACCGAGGCCAATTTTTTGAAGCCCTATCTTTTGACTTCAAGGCTTTCGGATAACAAGCTAGATACAAACCCTTATCACCAGAGTAAGGATGGTAATAGGGTTGGAGATCCCCAACTTGATCTTGCATAGTGACCCCTAACTGGTGGCCAACCAGATTAATGGAACGTACCAGGCCAAGGAAGAAAGGATGGACGATTACTTCCAAGTTGTTAGGAGGGAGCTCAAAAATTTCAAAACTGTTCAAATCAAACAGATCTCCCAATCCCAGGAACAGCCACATCGTTGCTTTGGCTCGTTTGGTAACTAGCAACAAGATTGAAGGGTTTAATAGCATCTCGATGGGAAGAATATCACAACCCGCCACCGAACTAGCCGAGGTGACCCTCATTATGATAGATTACAAACCAACCTGACTAGATGAAATCATCTCACACCTTAAGACAAGAGAATACCTTGAAGATCAGACCGATGCAAGAAGGCTTCGAACTAGGTCGACCAGGTACACCCTAATTGATGATGTTCTCTACAAAAGGGGGTACTCTATCCCTTTGTTGAGGTACTTGAACGAAGAAGAAGCACGGTAAGCCTTGCAAACCATATGTGCTTAAAACGTGTGTTGAAACTAGTAATTTTTTGAAGTTTTCTAATTTTTCCTTTGACAAGCATAACAGTTCTCAAAATAATCTATGTTAAAAAGGAATGATTAATATATTTCTGAAAAAGATAATCTATGAAATAAGACACAATTCACTTTTCCCTCAATTTCTTGGTTAATTAGATTTTTGTTAATATTATCGCATAAATATAATTTGAAATCTCAATTTATTCTTTGGATGTTAATTTATCAAAATCAATTTCCATTTATACATTCTTTTAATCAATCATGCTATATGACACATCAAGGTTAATGTAGAGCTTGATATAATACTACGTGACATTCTATCATTTGACAGTTTAAAACACAATCAATTTTTTCATCCAATCATCTATTGTCACGTGCAATTATGTCAAAATCCTTCTGATAAAGTAACTTTATCCTCTTCCAATATGCTTATCTCTATTTGATAAAGCCATCGATATGTGACATTTTTATCATGGTTTGAATTTTTCGTGATTCAACTAGTGATCCCAACGTAATCACATCACAATATTTTAAACCAACTTTTGTGAACAATAGAAACAACCATTTTACTGACTATCGAGAAGGTTTTGTTCAGTTCACATTACAATAGTAAAACCATTGACCAACAAATATGAATCTAGCAGACATCTTTTTACATAAATAAAATGTGCATGTATGTGATTATATACATCAAAAAATACATTTAAGCTGTCGTAGAGATTAGGAGTGAGTGCGGTCTAGTTCGATCCGATCCTGAAGGGAACTTAATCGAATTGAGTACCAATGAAAATATTAGAAATGAAACCATTGTTTTTATATCCAACTATGCAACTAAATCGGAACTGAATCAAATGGCTCCGATTCAGTCCTATCCAATTCTTTATATTGAAAAATTTATAAAAATAAAATATGAAATTATTTGCCAAAGTTAAAATAGACAAACATAGATTATGAAACTACTTGCATTCTTGTAATCTAACAATACAAAAAACTATTGAACGGGGCAATAAATTAAATCAACTTCAAAGCTCAAGATCAACTTATAAAAGCGAAAAAATAATAAACTATTAAACATAACATAAACGGTAAAATCTCATTTGAAAATTAATTTTTAAGAACATTCATACAACAATAGCCAATTATTTTTAGTACTTCTTAAGGGTCTTGATTTTTGACAGGATGCTACTTTCAACACGACGATAAATTTTTTTCCCAATTGTATTGCATTAAAACTAAGAATTTGCAAAATACTTATAAAATTACTTAGACTTGAATTTCGATCACACATAAAAGGAAAGAAGAAAAAGCGTAAGAAAAATGAAATTTTAATGTGCTATAATTTTGGGATCTAGTGTTTAAAGATTTATTACATCTTGCTACATGTAAAAAAAATGGAAAATTTAAAGATTTATTACATCTTGCTACATGTAAAAAAAATGGAAAAATCGAATTCACTATTGGTTTTCACGACAATACCGAGAACCGAACCGGAACCGATCAATTCTCGATGTGTAATCCCAAAATCAACCCATTTAGTAAAGGAATCGAAACTGAACTAACCTGTTCTGTTTGGTTCCACTCCGATCTATCGATTACATGAAAAAATGCTCACCTCTAGTAGAGATTCAACTAGATGTTTGAACTTAGAGATACCAAGCACGGAAATCCACCAGACTATGAATACGAATAGCTATAATGGAGCATAAAGAATTAAAGATTTTAAACTCAAAATACAAATAGCTAAAGATGTTATCCAATTGAACATAAAATAGTAATAATAATATGTAAAGTATTACTCGTAGACTCGAGCTCTCTTGAATATTCTTAGCTTGCTCCCTTAATTAATTGGTTAAAAAGGAGACCCAATTACCTTATATAACTCCATATCCTTTGGACGGATGGTAGATTGCATATCCCTTGTTAGCCTTCGATTTCTCTACATCTCAAACGTTACACAGCACAATTGGTTTTCGCCTTGCATTTCAAAATCTCTTCTGAGCATTGCAACGCTTATCTTTCCACTCTTTTGCTTTCGTAGCTGTTTCGTTACCTTTCCTATAGTCCTTTACCTCGCGCACTTTATGCATTTGGTGTTTTTGTAGGACTTTGCTCGTAGACCGAAAAGTGACACTTGCATGCAATATAAACTATACCTCTTACCTCTGTCTAATATCATGTCTACACCAGAACGTATGCTTATTGAAATGCAAGTAGCTGGACTACCCCAATAGTGCTCCTTTAGTTCACAATGCCAATCAATCTTGCTATATATTTCTATTCAGTTCAGTTTTAATTCAACTCTCCTTTAACTACGAGAGTTCAGTAAAATTTTAAATAAAACTTTATTGATTAAAGTTAGAACTATAAAGATTATTTATTTTGATGGTAGGACGAGTTATTTTTAACAAAATTAAGCTTTTTAATTGATAAATTTTTTTATCAAATATTGTTAATATTTGTCCAAAAAAAAAGTATCAATAAAAGTAACCTTTTTTTTTTTAACACTTGACCAACCATATTTGTTTTGTGCTCTTATACTCTTGTTAATCATGCTGTATTTGACCATTTCCGTTCATGGATTTTTTAATATGTTCAATAACACGTTTTTAATAAAATAATATTATTTGTAAAATAAAAAAATTTCCTTTTTTTTTAATCGCACTTTTTAAAAAAATTATTATTTTTCTTATTATAATGTGAAATAACAAGGGCCAAACGAGCGCTAGAAGTGATATTCGAATCCAAAACCACTGCACAATACGGATCCTAAAGAATTCCCGTGATCAACTCTTGGCATATTTTTCCCGACAATGATTTTCAGTTTAACTTTTCCAACTCTGCTGGACCTCAAAACGACGCCGTTTTCTCTTCTCCTCCCAAATTCCTCAATTTCTGAAAATAAATATCTAGATCAATTCGAAATGAACAGTTCGAAAATCCTCCACTTGGATTATTGATCGAAGATGTGATTTACTCAATTTTGATTCTTTTCCTTTTCCTATAGACTGATTGATAGATCCACTTGCATCACTCAAAGATACATTGACCAAGGTTCTTTTGATATCTCACTTTCTAGTTTGTGCTCTCCCTTTCTCTATGTATATACGTGTGTATGTTAGTGAAATAGTAGCCAACTTTGTTTTTCAGGAGATTTTTGTAAAATACGAGTTAAGCAATATCCTGTAAACGTAAAATTTCGCGATTTATAGATTTGCATTGTTCGTCACTTGAATTGTAGATTTTATCTGGTGAAGTTTGTCAATATGAACGATTTTTATTTTTTAACTGGGTTTCGCACAGTCTGCTGTTTTGTTGGTTTAATTGAGTGAAAAGGGCTACTGGGCTAGTACTAAAATTTGAACCCTGGCTCTTGTTATTATAATGGTGAAATATCTTGCAAATTCAGTTGAACAACTATGTTTTACTGTCAAGCGCTACGACTTTAATACAATTTTTCTCCACTGTTTGTTGGATTTTTGTCAAGTGGTTCCTTGTGCTCTTTTCTTGATAATTTTCTGGCTGCGGAATTATTAGATTGAAATTTAAAATGCATATACTTCATTAATAGGATTCATGAATTTCTTCGCACGTGCAGGTTGGCAATCAACAAAACATAATCTCATGAATACGATTTTTTTTTTTTAAACCCCGTGTGCTGCAAATTGTAATGTTAATGAGCATTTAAATTTAGGTATTTATTTCGAAGTGCACAAGGAATTTGACTCTGTGGAGGGTCGTTGATCAATTATATGAACATACAACTTATTTTCAGAACGAGTATTACCACAGTGATCGGATAGATTTTATGTTATTTGCTGGTTGTTGCCAAGTTTGCTTTTCCTTCCCACTTTTTTATATAGTGGATTGCGTCATTGCAAGTGAGTTATTGCATTTTTTCCTGTAGTTTTTTTTTTTCATCTGCTAGTTGGTAATGTCGGAAATGGTTAATTTTGATTGCCAGATCCTACTTTCTGTTTGATAAGCTCTTTTCAGGAGAGAAAAATGAGATTTGTCTTAATTATTGGCATTCTCGTAATAGGTCTGGAGCATAAATAGACATGGGTGCCTCAAAGAAATGGATCAAAGCGTTGATTGGTTTCAAGAATCAGGAGAAATCTCAATGTTGGGAGAAAGATGAAAATGTTGGTGGTGTTTTCTGATTGCAGTTATTTATCAGGGAATATAATGTTATGGAAAGGCAATCTGAGATGCTCAAATATTGCATTTGCTTTCATTTAACTTTGTTGAATGCCCTTTTGTCTATCTGTATATTCTGCCTTGACTTTTTGGCCAGAATTTCCCTTCCCTGCTGGCTTTACACGTGCTGAAGGGATATTCTTGAATTTCATGTGGAATTTTCCCAAATTTACCTTTTCATTTCTGGTGTCCTGGCGCAAGAAAGTTTCTCAAAGTGGTTGGAGCTGTTCAATATCAATAATATATGTGGTGGACATGTATTATATGTTTATTAACTAAGAATGGGAATGGAAGAAACTTGAGATGCCAAACCGTTTCTTCTGCACGGAAAACTGTAGCAGAAGTACCTTTCCTAGTGTCATATATGAATATTTGGGAACTTGATTTGACAGCACATGACTATCTAGATCTGGAATGTAGTGAAATTTAGCCCATGTTTGGTAACCATTCTTCCA